GAAAGGCCGCTAGAACCATGCCTCTGGTGCCGACACAAACACACTTCTCTTCCAGTTTCTTCCTGTTTGGTTTGAATTAATGAACTTGGGGAAGGCTGAGAGACAGAAAATGTACTTTCCGATTAGAGAATGTTCTCACCTTAGCTCCGCCTGGCTTTGAAACCTGAAGTTGAGGGCAGTGTTCTTTGCAGCAATACTCTAAGAGCTGTGCTAAATTGCTGCAATTAATGACTTAGAGGAGCAGGTTCTACTCTCTTTTCCCTAGTGGCCATGGGGAAAGACCAGATGCATTGAAAAACTGACTCTGGTCACATCGAACAGTACTGATTGCCCCAATTTCAATCCAGAGGGGAATGGGGAAGGGAGAAAGAAAGGAAGGGAGGTCTATGGAACTATTAGAACATTCAGTCTCTGACCTGGTTTTGAATATGGCTTTACTCCTTAATCTGATTCAATGAGAAATACATAACAGTGAGAAAAATGAAGACTGTTTTTCTCTTACACTGTCTGTCGTGATAAATATGCTAGGAAGACCATTTTTTCTTTGCAAGCAAAAATGTCCCTCTGTGCATCCTCATCATACAATCTTTGCATAACTTTACCTGGTCCCCTATGAAATACTCACTGGGCCCTCACTCGGCCACAGCTTCAAGACCACCCACTGCAGAGGTCCTGCCAATGGAAGAAGGCTGCCTCTAAGCATCACACCAGAAGTTCTTGACTTGGAAGTCACCCTGGAGAATGTGTCCCAAAGCATCATAATCTGAGTCATCTTTAGTTACCAGAATGATTCAGGGTGATTTAGAATTAGAATGGTTCTAAATTTAGATTCAGAATGATTTAGTTACCAGAATGATTAATTCCCAAAGGTGGTTTAAATCAATGTAAAATATCTCATACAAACTCTGTGTAACTGTTCCCTTGGTACCCAGGAAGTTCTGGAATAACAGGAGATAACAGACTCCTTACACTTTAACTTTATAAATACTCATGGGTTTATCAATGTGGAAACTAAGCCTCCCAGTTAGTCATGAAGAAGCTTATTTATCTGATCAGAAATACTCTAAGTGGACACTTCCAGGGCACTGGGAATCCTGACTGACTGTCCGATAGGTGCTCGGTAAGTTGCATTTACCTCTAAGGCTGTCATAGTAAAAACCTCAAGGTAGCCAAGAGAAGGGCTTTGGCTCTGAGACAGCAAAGAGGACAAGGCTTTAAAACAGCTGTGCTTTGCTTCTGTCAGAGAAGCAAGTGGCGAAGGACTGGTTGACTCTTGCTTGGAAACGCTGGGATTTTTTTTTTTTTGTCGGTGTGTTATTCTATGAGGAAACCATAGCAAGGACCTGATAAACTCAGGAATCCTCTGAAATTGCACACAAAATTTTGTATAGTAAAACTTTCCTAGGAACAGATCCTTAGCTTTCACCAGATTCTCAAAGTAGTTTATGTGCCCTTCTTAAATATTCTTAACATATTTCTTAGGTTATTCAACAAAGTTGTTTGAATTGTTCAAACAATGACTGGTAAAGAACAAAACAACACTCCGAATTATCAAACGTTTAATGTATTAGTTAAACACACACACACAAAAAGTTAAAGTGCCTGAACAAACTAAGAAGTACTACTGAATTCATCCTAATATGTCTAAAATTTTCTCATGGGAGTCTGAATGTGCAAGAAAAAAATAGGAAAAACAAAACCATGAAATGAATAAATACTGAGGAATCATAAGTGGGAGGCAGTATAGTTTAGGCTGAGGACTCTAGAATCACTAATTTCTTTCATACATACCTACTCTTACCTGAAAAAATGCTCACAGTCGCTCAAACATGCTCTGAGCTGTTCTGACTCAACTCCTTGCTCAATCACTCCTCCTACAGTGCTCTCCTCTAATCCATCCTTCACCTTTTGAAATTCTTTTCATCTTCCAATGACCATCTCAATTCATTTCAAAGGCTGCCTACGCCCTACTCGATACAGAACAAATTTCTTCTTATGGTAAGAGACCCTCAACTATCTGGCCCGGACATGCACTCTAGCCATGTTTCTTATCACTCGCTTACAGCCACTACTACCCTTAGATCCAAACAAAAGGCACTCATGTGGTAGCTCCATTCTTTAGAGCAATTCTGGGCCTCTTCCTACCGTACCACCTCCCATGGGACATGACCAAAGGGATACACCCACCTGGAGTCCATTCTATCCATCCCTTCTAGACCATCTTCCAGGTAAAAGGACCCTAAAATTCCTTGCCCAAATGAACCCTTTCTTAAACTCAGAGACTACAAGAGTCTCTTTCCCAGATCATCTTTGTAAGGGTGAATCATGCCGCTAATGTTCACAGATCTAGGCCTTAAGGGTAGCCAAAGGATGGCTGCTTGCAGAGGTGTTAACAGAGCATGTGCATGCAGGCTGGCATCTCCATGTCGGTGCAGCCACATGTGCGTAAGCTGGAGACAGATTCTCCTCACGCCACCTCATTCTAGTGTGGAACTCCAAGGGTCCTAAGAATTCTACCTTTAAGGTTATTATAAAAGAGGGAGGATAGAACATATTTTATTCATTTGTTTTATTTATTTTTAACTTTTAAATATTGAGGCATATGATATGAGAACCTCCATTCGTTATCCTGATCCTGGGCCCTGCCAATGTCAAAGGTGGGCCCACTCCTAGGGAACCCGTTTTTAACCACCCCAAATACTTGCAGTTCTTTAACATCTTGTCTTTTTCAAACATCAGTAACATTTCACAGGCTATTCTGTCTGTCTGTGATGCCTGATGGTCTCAATGTACTCCTGAAGCATCCTTCAAGAAGTTGAGGGTCAGCCCCGGCGGCCTAATGGTTGAGTTCAACACGCTCTGCTTTGGCGGCCTGGGTTCAGTTCTCGAGCATGGACCTACACCACTCATCTATCAGTGGCCATCCTGTGACAGTAGCTCACATACAAAATAGAGGAGGACTGGCTACAAATGTTAGCTCAGGGTGAATCTTCCTCAGCAAAAAGAAGAAGATTGGCAGCAGATGTTAGCTCAGGGTGAATCTTCCTCTGCTGAAAAAAAAAAAGGTTGAAAGATAAAAATTGCCCCCATTGTCACTATTTTTTAACATTCTCTGGAAGTACTAGCTAATACAAGTAGAGAAGAGAAAGGAATGAGAGATAATATATAGGAATGAGGGAGAAAATTCACATCCTTTTCATATTATATGAATTTGTATTTGAAAATACCAAGAGAATCAACTAAAAACTATTTTTAAATGATAAGAAACTATGGTAAGGAAGATAGTTATAAAATTAATTCAAAAAATCAATAGCTTTCCTATATGTAAACAATTGTAAATAAACCACAAAATGAAAAAAAAAAGATTTCATTTTCAATAGTTACTAAAAGAGAAAATACCTGTGAATAGTCTTTAAAGAAATATGTAGGATGTTTATCTGTAAAGTTTAAAGAAAACTTTAAAACTCTATTAAGGAAAGTCTTTACTAAATGAAATACATACCATATTATAGAAAAGAAAATTCAGTTGTAAAGATGTCAGTCTCCAAATTAATATATTGATTCAATGCAACAGCATTCCAAGTAAAAACAGGATTATTTTTATTTTTTTGGAACTTAATAAAATGATGCTAAAGTTCATCTGGAAAAATATACATGTGAGAATAGCTGGAAAATTTGCTACCAGCTATTAAAATCAATTACGAAGCCATTGTATTTAAATATTTGGTCTTGGTTCTAGAAGAGATTGCAAAGAAAAAAGAATCCTAAATTGATCCAACTACTTATGAATGTTTTCCTATGCGACAAGGCTAGAGTTTTAAATCAACATAATCAACTGGAAAATGATTTCACAAACAAATGGTATTGGAACACCTGGCAAGCTATTTGGAGAAATAAATAAAAAGAGTTGATATCTCATTCTTTAAATCAAAATTAAACTCCAGATAGATTAAAGATTTTAAAGTAAAATTGAAATCTAGTAAAGCTCTAGAACAGAATAAGAGATAATTTTTTAAATAATTTTAAATTGAGGAAGGCTTATCTAACTATGTCACAAAGATCACAATTCAAAAAGGAAATGATTGATAAATTTGACGTCAAACCATTTAAAACTTACTGCATAGCATGAAGGAAAAATACCATACCAATGTGAAGGGATAAGTAACAAACTGAAAAATAATTTGCAATAGACATATCAAACAAATGGCTGATTTCCGTAATAAATAAAGAGCTCTTGTCAATAAAATGCTTAGAAGACCAACAACCTAATAGAAAAATTAACAAAGGAACTGAACTGACCATTCATAAAAGAAGAAATGCACATGCAAATAATGGCTTGAAAAAATGCTAATCCCAGGGTGGCCCAGTAGCATAGTGGTTAAATTCCTGTGCTCCACTTTGGCGGCCCGGAATTCACAGTTTTGATCCCAGGCATGGACGCCACACCGCTTACCAAGCCATGCTGTGGCAGGCATCCCACACATAAAATGGAGCAAGATGGGCATAGATGTTAGCTCAGGGCCAATCTTCCTCAGCAAAAAAGAGAAGGATTGGCAGTGGGTGTTAGCTCAGGGCTAATCTTCCTCAAAAACAAATTGATAATCCCTACTCATAATTTTTTATAAAAAAAATACAAATCAAGAGGATGTGCATTACTAATATTCACCATCACAGTGACAAAGATTTAAAATTTCATAAAACTTTGGGTTTGTGGGAAAACCAGTATTCATGTACAATATTGGGAGAGTAACTTAGTGCAGCTTACTTGGAGGTCAATTCGTCACTCTCCATCAAAAAAGAAAATGAATGAGCGCAGATTTCTCTGAGTCTATTTTAGCAGAATAAAGCCCTGTGGCTAATGACAGCCTTAAACCATTGGGAATGTGAAGCCAAATGTTTCTCACCTGGTACTGGAACAAAGCGATAAGAAGCTTTTGTTTTTAAGTATTTAATCATTTTAAAGTCATATGTTTTCTTTTTCCAATAAGAGAGAGAACAAAATGGCAAGAGGAAATCGTAGCACAGTGACAGAATTTATCCTCATGGGACTCACAGACCGTCCTGAGCTCCAGCTTCCCCTCTTCGTGGTGTTCCTGCTAATTTATCTCATCACCCTGGTGGGAAACCTTGGCATGATCCTGCTCATCAAGGTGGATTCAAGGTTCCACACGCCCATGTACTATTTCCTCGGCCACCTGGCATTCATTGATCTTTGTTATTCATCTTCTATTGGGCCCAAAATGCTGCAGAATTTATTGGCAAAGAGAAAAACCATCTCCTTTTTGGGCTGTTTTGCTCAGCTCTACTTCTCCAGTGCTCTTGCCACTACCGAATGCTTCCTCTTGGCCACAATGGCCTATGATCGCTACATGGCTATCTGCAACCCCCTGATTTACACAGCCATTATGACTCAGGGGGTCTGCAAGGAGCTGGTGATAGGAGTCTATACCTATGGCTTCCTGAACTCCGTGATCCAGACAGTGCTGACTTTCCAGTTGTCTTTCTGCGACTCTGTCATCCACCATTTCTACTGCGCTGATCCCCCTCTCCTTGCCGTCTCCTGCTCTGACACCAGCAACAAAGAGAAGCAGCTCTTGATGTTCTCTGCAGTGAACCTCACTGGGTCCCTCCTGACCGTCCTTGTCTCCTACATTTGCATCCTCTTTTCCATTATAAAAATTCAGTCTTCTGAAGGCAAGTGCAAAGCATTTTCCACCTGTGCCTCCCATCTCACCATGGTTATCATTTTCTATGGAACACTGTTTTTCATGTACCTGAAGCAACCTAAAGCAGGGAATTCATGGAAGTACAACAAAGTGGTCTCCGTATTTTATAGTCTTGTAATTCCCATGCTCAACCCTCTCATCTACAGCCTGAGGAACACGGAAGTAAAGGAAATCCTGAAAAAGATGCTAGAGGGCAGAGAGTCATAGTGAATGAGTTTTCAGAGTGCAGCACTGAGAAAGCACGATATACTGACGTGGTATACCCAATCTGATTGAAATGTAGCAGGCCAACTGACATCCAATCAGGATAAACAAACAGTCCATCCAATTTTGATTTTTTAATGACCAAAAGTACTGAACCACTTGCTTGACATTGTAATATTTAATCCAACCAATTATGGACTAATCAGCATTGACTTACTAGACTGTTCATAACTATGCCCTTCCTATGTTGAAAATTAAGTGGCTTACTACCAATTAGGTAATAATATGAGGTCCAAATTCACAAAGATCTTAAAAAGCAAAACTCTGGGCAGAACTATAAATTAACAAAGCTGGGTACAAAATCACACATGAAAATCTGTTAGTAGAAACATTTTTACGGCTAAAAATGGGGTATATTGTAGCAAATCATTTGTTAGTCTTAAAACACATTTCTTCATAAGATTTCTGCAGATAGTGGTTAAATTCCAAGATCAGATCACAATAAGCTTACTTAATCTAAACGTAGCTGAAATACTGAATGCTTACAATGAACAATAGAAGAAACAGTATTGCAGCAATAATAAGGGGGTGGGGAAAGAACGTAAAAACTATGACTCAGTTACATGTGGGGTTGATTTTATTGTTTGTTTAGAAGAGGAAGATTAATTAGAAGAGACAGAGAGGGTTTCTGGTACTTTCAGAGATGTAAAAAGTGCTCATTTATTCAATAGCAAGAGTTTAATTTTTCTAGTCTCTGGAAAGTACAGCTACAGTCATTTTTTTTCTAGGTGGGGTGGAGAAGAAGGGAGTCACCATGAGCTTAAGAAAGAGAAAGAGAAATAAGGGGCAGAGGAAGGGAAAGAGGAAGAATTTCCTGAGGAAACCAGGCCAGAGTAAGCATGTTTCTGAGAAATAAAATTATTGTCATAAACAATTCGAATGATCTAGAGAAATAGTTTAGTTTTGTGACATTTTCCATGTTCTTTATTTTTGTTTTCACAGATCTGATATTCCAATTTTCTTGGAGACAAATATATATAAGTTTTTACTGTTAGTGAGAGTAGGTGAAAAAAAAACTCTTTAATTTTTTTTTTAGGCAAGAATATAAGCACTCTATGGTTTTTCCAAGCCTCAGTTCTAATACTTCTTTCAAAGTAATCCTTAAGAAATACAAATCTGCCATAAACCTTAGATTTTCCCCTGTTTTCAAATGTAATTACTATTTTGACTCTTTTTTAATGGTTAAGAACATGTATCACCAATCAATTACAGATAAGTTTAAAATTAATCAACAAACTAAGGGGTCCCTTTTGCCCCCAAATTAACTCTTGACATAATATAATGGGATCTTTGTTTTTATTGCTGCTGTGAACCTGCAATTTAGAAAAATAAAAGTAGTCAAATATTTATTACTTCTGTTACTTAGCTCAGAAACCCTTTCTGGAGAGTTGAGTTACAAGCTGTATTCCTAAACACTTGGGGATGGAGAGTTGGCTGTGGTTAAGAAGAAAGATACTACCAGGATAAAGGAACAGAGTGAGGAAAGGTATGAAGCAAGCCCAGGAGGTAGGAGAGATTGCACATGTAATGAACAAAGGAGGAGCAAGCAAAGTGGGAAGAATACCACAAGACAGATGTTAGACCTTAAGCTCCTTGAGACTAAACAGATTATCTCTTCATTTTGCACCCTAGCACCTACAAGTCCTGGCACAGAACACACACGTCATAACTGTTTGTTGAATTGAATTGAACTCTTCTATATTTATTGCTAATTCCAATGGGTGGGTAGACATAGTGCCCAGTAATGGCCCTGTTGTTGGGAAGTGACAGAGAAAAGCAAGTTACTGGGATCTTGACAGGAAGACTGTTTTCAATATCCTCCCATGAAGCTAACATCTTTAAGGCAGGAAGACGTATGAAGGCAACAACACAACCCAGCCAGTGAAAGAGATGCCTCTGGGAAAGTGGTATATTAGGAAGAGGGTAGCAGCCTGAGTTGTTGATGGACTATGACAGGCAAGGAAACATTACTATAGGAAGAGGTTGCTACTAATTGAGATAAAGAAAATGAGCAGGTATCAACACTTAGATGACAAATTATGACGAAGAAAAAGCCACACCCATTTCTTAAATTTTTCTCAAACTATTTCCATGTCAGTTTTGTTTAGAAAGAGAAAAAAAAGACAGTAAGTAGATATCACGTTTTAATACATGCCTCTCACAAATGAATTATACTCATGTTTTTAAAGAAATATTTGGTCTAAGACTATATTTAATCAATCCTTTAGTTCTTTTTAGAGAAAACTGAAGAAAATACATCTCGAGACCTCTCCATAATGCCTTTCCAGCTGTTGGATTTGTGTACTTTTTTCAACGCGCATCCTCGATTTCCTCTAAAACAAAGTAGAAAATTGAGAATATTATATTCATGGATTATGAAGGATGTAAGTGCACATTTTCCTAAATTTCCCAAAGATCTAGAAAGCATAGAGTTGGCATGAGGAAGGATCTGAATCAGCTAAATTTTAAGCTAATATTTTGTATTTCCTTTCCCATTGGGGCTCCTTAGTCTTGTACATTTATCTCCCTGATTCAGGCCTTACTATAGTAAGAAAATTCTCTAATCAATTACTCACATTTTTAAGAAATATAGCACACTATACACATGTGTAGTATTAAAATGACAATATTTAAGCCATAAGAGAAACCAACATGATTATACATCTTTGTTCATTTATAAAATGAGGCTGTTTTAACCAATACTCATAATAATTATACTAATTTTTCAGCCTACAATAAACAAATATCTTCTGAATATGCAAATGTTATCAAAATAATGAAAATTTCACCTTTATCAGATTTTACAAGCTCAACATTTCACTGAAAGTAAAAATAAAACTGCTCTCACATATAACTAAAATGTAAACCCATTTTCCTCTTGGTAATCCTAAAAATGAATATTTTCCAACATTGACCACATAGACAATTTCCATTAAAAGTCTAATATGTAACTGAAACATGACATATTCATATGTATTGTAAATGTATACTCATTTGCATATAAATTACTGGGTTTTTAAATCAGCTTAAATTTAAATGTCTTATTTCTCCTCATCTAATACTCTGTTGATTTGTCATGCTTAGAAGCATGCCAAAAGGATTTTTTTATTATGTTGATCATGAAGAAGGAAATATGAGAGGGCAAATACTATTCATTTTCTTTCATATTATTTGACATATATAGAAGTATTTTAGAAACTTAATAATTTTAAAATTTCAAATGTGCCTCCAAATTTTCAGCTCTGCCCTGGATGTATAATTCTAGCATTCTTTGGAGAGCAAGATGGAATGTAAAAATGTTAATTCAGTGCTTAAGCGTGGCCCCTGCCTGCAATTAAGCGGTGCATCCACTAGAGAGATAGGGAGCCGCGGATGTCAGATACTTGGGGAGTTCAGGCTCTTGGGAAGGTGACAGATTTAGCCTTTTCTTCCAAGCTTTTTTTATTAATGTTTGTATTAACTAGAACTTCCATTTCTGGTAAGATAGGGCAAATTGAAGAGCAGAAAAGACAATCTTTATTTTAAAAAATCAAATAAGTAGCTCTTATACCATTGCAAGCAGCTTAAGTGTCCTAACAGAGACAGTTTCCAGAAGGTTTTATACTGTAGCCTGAAAGAAAATGTTTTATTCCTTCAAGCTCACTTTCTTTGCTTGGGTGTGTTAACCACTCTGGCTCTGGACACCTACCAAGCCGCAGCTTCTGCTCCTCCTTACAGACAATCTTGCTTGCTGACGACATTGGACGTGGTACAAGGAGAAGAGATAGAACAATGAGCCAGCCATGCTCAAGCGCTCTCCAGACCACCTCTGGCTCGTCCTCAGCTAGGGACGCTACACGCTGCAGGCTTCTCAAACTTCAGAAAGAGCAGGGAGAGCTCCTAGGTCCATCTCTGGGTTTCACACAGATTGTTTTTATTCCATTATTATTGTCTTTCCTTTTAGAAAGAACCATTTTTAACTCTCTTTATCCATATCATCTCCTGTTTCATCTGAAAGCCGATATCATTAATAGTATGTTTACTTATCTCTTCATTTGCCTTAGCAAAACTAGCAACTAGCTTTCCTTAGTAATCATTCAGATGCAGAGTTTAAATTAATGTTAATTATAATAGAGCAACCAATTGAAAGGAAACTCTGATTAATGTTATTTATGTTAAGGGGAATCATGTTTATAAAGAAATGTTAAAATACCTTTCACAAATGTTGGACTATCTTTCCTTCATATAGGTGGGTCCTAAAGTGTCCGCAGGCACAAAATAACAACTCTGCCAGCTTGAATCTAACAGCATAGTTCTCTGCTCTTCTTTAACTAATTAGGTATTAAAACACTGCTAAGCTTTTCTCTCCTGGTCTATTCGTAGTTCCTTGTATGTTAAATTATTAATTTATCAAAACAAGGCTGTGCCTGCATAATCACTTCACTAAACATATAACTGACTTCTGATAACATCTATAAATCCACATTTGGGAACTATGTAACAGATGCCTGCATGCCAAGCAAGCAAAATATAGCACGCCAAGCCTGAAAAAATGTGTGATCTGGGAGGTGAAGATTTTGCTCTCCAAGATTTTGAAAGAAGTGTGGCCTCTAAAAGCAGGGCTTCAAAGCCTGTATCAGTGCTGGTGGTGGAGTAAGAAAGAGACTGGGTAGGAAACTCAAGGTCTTAGCTTGAGTCTTGGGTCTGCCCTGAACCATGATATCAGTCAGGTGGCTTGATCCATCTGAGCCTTAGCTTTTTCATCTAGAAAATGAGGAAAATCAGGATAAAATAGTATAGGGTATGCTAAAGTATATTTTAAACATTTAAAAGTATAAAGCATTTATTTTTGATAACCAGACTCTACCACTTCTGACTAGGGTTCAGCTTTCAGAATCTTTGATTTGAAGCAGGTATTTGAAAAATTCTTGCCTGAAAAATGTTTTCATAAATTGTGAAAGTTT